ATACCTAGAAAATTAGGACTTCAGCCAAGCAGCAAGGTCAGAGACGCTTTGCCACCAGACAAAACGTGGCAGTGGTGCGACCGAAGGGACCTGCTCTGCCTTCCCTTCATAGAATATGGGATGACTTGGGTTGGAAGGACCTTAAAGCTCACCCAGTCCCACCCCTGCCATGGGCAGGGACACCTTCCACCAGCCCAGGTTGCTCCAAGAAAATCCTCCACTTTTATCCACGTTAAGAATGCCCAAAATAACCCCCAGAACAGATTTAGCAGCAGAAAGAACTGACAAACACAACCCAACTATTTTGCCTCTTCTCCCAAATTCAATTTCAAGCATTTGAAACATTTTGGGAGAAGGCTGTGACCTTGCTGCTTTTGTAAATGAGCTAGAAAGGAGTAATGGATTACTTAGAATATCCTTCACAGCCACAGCCACAGAAAGGGAAGCACTCGAGGCTCCTGCGAAAGCCTCCAGCGAGGTGATTTTTCATGCTGGAATTCAAATGCCATTAGAAACACTTATTCTCTGGGAAATAATTCCAGCTTTGAAAGAAAAAAAGAAAAAACCCACCCAGAAATGGCAGTGGCAGCTCTGAGGGAGCAGAGCAAGGCAGGATCTGGGAGCACATCATTGTCACACCACGTTAACAAGCCCAAGAGATGCTGAGCAATAAAAAGCCTCTTTGCATTTATATGGATTTTCTCATCCCAACGTCTCAGCTCACTCTCTGAGCACCCAGGGAAGGCTCCTGAGGCCTTGCTCATGTGTGGATCTGAGCTTTACCCTCCTCCTCACCCTTCTGGAGAGACACAGACTCCTCTGTTCCTCCAAGTGATGCAATCTGCTCTTTGTTGGGTCACTCAGATCTTCACTTGGCATGACCATGTTAGTTCATTTAAGCCACCAATTAACCCCAGAGAGGTCTAATCCTACCCTAGAGGAGTTCAATCCCACCCCAGAGGGATTTTATCCCACCCCAGAAAGGTTTAACCATACCCCAGAGAGGTTTAACCCCATCCCAGAGGGGTTTAACCCCATCCCAGAGGGGTTTAACCCTACTCCAGAGGGGTTCAATCCCACCCCAGAGAGGTTTATCCCACCCCAGAGAGGTTTAACCATACCCCAGAGAGGTTTAACCTCATCCCAGAGGGGTTTAACCCTACTCTAGAGGGGTTTAACCCTACTCCAGAGGGGTTCAATCCCACCCCAGAGAGGTCTAACCTTACTCCAGAGGGGTCTAATTCCACCCCAAAGGTGTTTAACTCTACTCCAGAGGGTTTAACCCTACCCCAGGGAGGTCTAACCCCACCTCAGAGGCTGCATCCCATCCTTCCCAACACACAGCATCAGCTGCTTCCAAAGCAGCCACAGGACGCCTGTAAATAAGGATCAGAGTCTCCTCCTTGCTCCCCACTCATTTCTGGAGATCAGGAGGACACCAACCCTGAGCTCAGTAAAAGCTCTGGGGCATGAGATTTCATACCCAACCCAAGAGGTTTCCCACAGCATCAGCTTAGAACTGAATATTCATATTTATCCAAGTGCTGTTTGAAGGTTTACCCATCACATGTGTAGTTTCCTTCCAAGAAATGAAGGTCAGAGGGGTTTGGTGACCAGTCCAAAGCCTTTCTCATGGAACTGGGAAGGAGCAGAGCTCATTGCCCTGTTCTCTGTCCATCTCCATCCCCAAGCAGCAGCTCAGTGCACCTTGCCAACCTGCAGAGCCCCAGGCAGAAGGATTTGCCTGACCCAAAGCTTAGGGATGCCCAAAGGCCTCTTGACTTTGACAATTCCTTCTTTCTATCCAGGTAAAATACCCTATGGAGAGTGGCAGAACATTTTTAGTGCCACTGGTCCCTGTGGCAAAAAAAAAAAAAAAAAATCCCACAAAGGAAACTTCCACCAGTTTCCAAGTGTTTATTATTCCTACCAGCAGCACAGTCAGCTGGAAATAGATATGACCTGTTGTGGCCTGAAAACTGAACGAGATGTGGTGAATGCAAAGTGTCTTCAGCTCTCCCTGGTTATCAACAGACAGGAAATTTCTCCCCTAGTTTAACCAAACCCAATCAGGAGCAGAAAGATGATCCCCTCACTGAAATCCCAGGAGAAACACAAGGACAATTCAGCCCCCAGACCTGGAGAACAGCCCCTGATTCTGTGTTTTTAAGGGCAGAACCTCAAGCAGAGGGCACTAAGCTTCTCCAGTTAAAGGCTGTGGAATTATAGCCATAAGGGCTAATTATATCCTCATTTTAAAGTATTTGTGACCGATTAAACCTTTGCTCTGCTCTGAAATTTACTGTGGCACAAAATGCCTCTGCAAATACAGGGTTGGGTTTTTTGGTTTGGTTTTTTTTTTTTTTGTCCTTTCCCATTCTGTGTAGAAGAAACAGCAAAACAAATTATAGGGGAAAAGAAATCACTTTGAAAGCCTCAGCTTAAAATGAATAGTCTCTCCTTAAGCATTTAAATACCTTGAAAATTAAGCTGCTTTTAAACTCCAATTGTGCAGCTTGGGAGTCCATAAAGTAAATCAGTGTCTGCAGCCACATAAAATGACCCTTCTAACAGCCAAGGGGTGGCAATGAGGGAACTCATGTGTGAGAGGGTCCCAAACACCTGGAGTGAAGGTCCTGAAGTCTACAATGAGGGCACAGAATCAACTTCTGCTCTCTGGGAACAGGGACAGGACCTAGGGAACAGCTGGAGACGGGTCAGGGGAGGGGCAGGTTGGATATCAGGACAAGGTTCTTCCCCCAGAGGTGTTTGGGCACTGGATCAGGGTTAGGTTGGAGATCAGGAGAAGGTTCTTTCCCCAGAGATGTTTGGACACTGAACAGCTCCCAGGGCAGTGGGCACAGCCCCAAGGCTGACAGAGCTCAGGGACTATTTGGCCAATGCTCTCAGGCCCAGGGTGGATTGTTGGAGTGTCCTGGGCAGGAGTTGGCTCAATGATCCTCGTGGGTCCTTCCAGCTCAGGAGATTCCATGATCATCCTTGCTTGGTCACTGGCTTGGCAGGGAATAGTCTGGAGGACTGGGAGGCACCAGATTTGGGAAGTAGCCCATGGTTTGGTTCTCTACTATTCATCCCTTGCAGCTAAGATCAACATGGTTGATCTGAAGGTGCTCCTAGAGCTGGGACCAACTCTCCTGAGCTCAACATCCAACTGCCTCTAGTGTGACAAACATGGTCTGGCTCGAAATGCTCAGACCCAGGGCTGAATTCCTTGGATCATCCACACTGAGCTGCTGCAAGGGATGTGCTGTTTCCTCCACTCCTTAACTGGCCACAGCAGGACCTTTCACAGCACAGGAGACAAAAAGCCCCTGGAATTACACAGATGTCTCTCTGCTCTCTGAAAAACTCTCTGTTTCTCTAAGCCTTGCTCAGCTTGGGTCAGAAGATTCTCCTCTGATGTTGGCATCAAAGCAGCTAGGCCAGCAGAGCTGCACTTTCTCATAGCAAAGAGAGTCAAGTTTGCTATGCTGAGCTTAGCTCCAGGAGAATGCAGCATCTCCTTGCAGACTTGCAGCCAAGGCAGAGTGGATTAATTGCAGAGTGGATTGCTGCTGCTCCCCAGAATACTTTGCACAGCATGTGATGCTTCCCTTAATGCACTGTGCTGCTCATTGACAAGTTTCTTTGCTGTAATACAAATGGTATTTGGCAAATTGGCTCATGATCCCTCCCGTGGTGCTGATATCTGGGCTGACAAGGCAGTTATATAAGAGTGCATCGAGTTATATAAAGGGTTTATAGCCTTTGTGCTCAGCCCAGGAGATGCTGGCAGATCAGGAGGAATTACCCCCAGCCCCTGCACAGGAAACTTACTCTCCCATCAGCATTGAGATGTTTTCTGGAGGTTTTTTCTCCAAGACAAGAGCTTGGCCTGTGCTGCACTGAGATTGGACTGAAGAGACCTGCACTTTGTGCTGGCAATGTGAGGAAAGAAGAGCTGCAGAGCTAGGACAGAGCTGAGAACAGAGAGCCCAAGTTGTGTCCTAGGTCTGGACCAGATTTACTCGATGCTCCAACCTCTCCAGCTGTAAAATGGTACACAGATCCAGCATGGAAAATAAGGCTGGAAGAACCATCAAGCACCAAATGTTACAGCAGTGGTGGCAGTGGCAGCTCCTGTCTCCTTCTCTGGGGCACTGTGGGAATTCCAGGTATCCAAATTCCAAATGGCTTCCAGAACATTTGAACAGATCTCTCTCTCTCTTTCTCCTGACTTTCAGGTTCCTGCCACAAAGGTCTGACACCAAAGGTAACACCTGCCACAGGTTCTGCTTGATATGGGACAATCTTTCCCTCTTCATCCTCTCTCCCTCAAAAGGCTTAAGAGTTAGGACACCAAAAACCTCTTCATCTTGTTCCCAGCCACTGTTTGGGTGGTGGCACAGAGGGCAACTGGCCAAGCACATGGACACCCATCTCTACTGAGAAAAACTCTTGGTTTACACAGGGAGTGTGTCCTTCACTGCTCCCAAAGCACTCTGAGCTAAAGGATTCTCACCTTTTCCATGGGATGTTTCTATCGTCCATGTGCAGTTCAAGTTATTTGGATAAAAATCAGGGAAGCCTGGGGATAAGATGGTACCACTGGAGCCACGGATGTAACCTCCACAGAGAGCTGCAAGCACAAAAAAGGAGAGAAAGAAGTCAGTCTGGAAGGGTGTCAGCTCTTCTGCACGGCACAGCTCAGCCCAAGCCATGGAATCAAAGCCAACCCACACTCAGATGACACTGAGCTCTATGAGTGCTGCTTGAAGTGAAGGCTCCACCACCCCCTGCAGATGTGACCTTACCCTCACAGCTGGGCAGTGGACGGCTCCACTGGAAGTTGGGCTCACACTCCAGGGCCTCGGAGTCACTCAGGGTGTATCCTGAGTCACAGCTGAAGGTCACCAGTGCTCCCACGTAGAAGTCGTTGCCGTGGCGTTGGCCGTTCACTGGGATCCCTGGGTCCAGGCAGTGGTCAGACTGGAGCTTCACAGCTGTGGCAACAAACCCACTGGGGTCAGAGCCCTCAGGGCATGGGGAAAGCTCAACCCCTGCTCTGAGCTCACTCCAGATCCTACTGGTCATCCCCAAAGTAAGAGGATGACATACTGAGCTCACTCCAGATCCTACTGGTCACCCCCAAAGTAAGAGGATGACATGGAGAGAGGAACGGGTGGGATTCTCAGGGTTGTCATGCGCACAGCCAGGAGTTGGACTCAGTGGTGCTTGTGGGATCCAACTCAGCATCAACCCCTTCCTATGAGCTCATTCCAGATCCTACTGGTCATCCCCAAAGTATGAAAGAGAGAAATTGATGGGATTCTTGGGGCTGTCCTGTGCAGGGCCAGGAGTTGGACTTGATGATCCCTGTGGGATCCAACTAAGGATAGTCAATGATTTTATGATCTCAACTTTGCCTCAAATCAATAATATTCTGTAGATGCTAAAATAATGAGATATTAGGGAGAAATCCTTCCCTGTGAGGGTGTTGAGGCACTGACACAGGTTGCCCAGAGCAGCTGTGGCTGCTCCATCCCTGGGAGTGTTCCAGGCCGGGTTGGATGGGGCTTGGAGCAACCTGAGCTGGTGGAAGGTGTCCCTGCCCAGGACTGAAGGTCCTCCCAACCCAAACCAGTCTGGGATTCTAGAGAAAGCAGAAGCTGCTCCTTCTTCCCTGGCATCACCTTCCCACCCTCCAGTCCCTGAGCAGTGTGAACTCTGGCACAGGACCCAAGGGTTCCAAGGGGTCCCTGCCTGAGGCCACTGAGCCTCTGGAGAGCCCAGAATTCCAAGGAATTCCAGGAACAACTGGCACTTACTTTCGTATCGGATCTGAAAGCCAATGTCAGAGTGGCTTTTGTCAGTGGTGAAGAGGAGGTAGAGGTAGTTGCTGGTGCTGATGAGGAACTGGGGCACCTGTGTCCCATCGTAGACACCGATCAGGGGGGAGGAGTAGGACCTGCCATCTCGCACTTCCAGGGTGTCGTAATTCACCTCTGTCTTGAACCTGGCAGGGACACAAGGAAACTGTGACAAACCTGCATTGCTCATTGCTCCTCCTCTCAGTCCTGCCCGAGCTGGAAGGACCAGGAGGCAGCACAGACCACAGGGTGGTACATGGGGCTGTTTCCACTGCCTGAGCATCTCCCTGGGAGCACCTCAGGCCCTTCCCATGAGCTTTGCTTTCCTTCTGCTCCTTCACCTGCTCCATCTGCTGACACTGCAAAGCCTCTGCAGCAATAAGCACCTTGTGCTGCATGAACAGCCACCTGGCAGACACACAGCTCAGGGGCAGGAGAGCACAGCCCTCCCCAGAGCCTGAATTCCAGGGGAAGCCAAGCTCAGCATTCCTGAGCCCAGGACAGATCCTCCTTACTGCTGTTCCCTCAGGAACATGTGGCAGCTCAACCTCCAAACATGTCCTACCTGTGTCTGGAACAGCACTGGAGATTGGCAGGAGTGAGTCAAAACAAGAGGGGGGGAAAAAATCCTCATTTCCCACCTTTTCTTCTTGAATGTTGGGTGAATTTTGACATCTTGTTAGGAGTTAATAAAGAAGGAGGAGATAAACTCATTGCACAGCAGCTCCTCATCCCCTTGGCTTGGCTACACCTCCAACACTGCAGGAACCACCAAAACCAACCAGAAAGAGGAAATTTGGAGAAGGCTGAGGTGAGCACCTGTCAAAGGTGATCTTGATGGGGTATCCTGGCTGGGCCTCTATGACCCAGGCACAGCTGAGCGAGTCCTTGTAGAAGCCAGGCCAGCCAGGGGACAGGATGGTGCCACTGGGAGACGTCAGGTGGCCACCACAGGGTGCTGAGGAGAAGGGAAAGGACACAGTTCATTCAATCATCCAGCAGAGAACTACTGACATTGGAAAACACCTCTAAGATCATCAGGTTTAACCATAAATCTAACACTGCCAGGTCAACATGTCCACAAGTGCAACAGGTCCATGCCTTAATCTGGGTGAAGAGTGTCCCACTTGGCCATGCCCTCCCTGCCAGGCACAGCTTTCCTACCTCACTGCTCCTCACACACGAAACCCAATCCCATCCAGATGAAACACCAACGCTAACTAATATGAAATTGCCTTTTCAGCTTAGAAATGAAGATATGAGCCACAGCCTGACCTTGTGCAGCAGCTCCGAGGGGACAGGGTGGAATAATAATCATTAGCTATAAAAGCAGGGGAAACTGCAAGGTCAGTTAGCATTCCAGCAGCTGCAGGTGCCAGAAAAATCCTTCCTATCTGTGGTAATTGAGTCATGGCTTTGCTACCACCAGGGACATCACCAGACCACGGCAGTTATTCCACAGCGTGCTCCCTCGTGCCATCAGCAGAAGCTGAAGGAATATTATCATCTCTTGTGAAGAAAGGACACAGGATCTGATGGCTCAGAGGTACAAAGTCCCACAGCCCTCAGTAACTGCCAGCTTTGGTCTGAGGGGACCAAGGGAACCTGCTCCGAGGAGCAGCTGCAGGAGCACCAACCCAGGGATGAGCTGTGCTCAAGGGCCACCCAATGTCACCTTGGGTGTCACCTAAACCATGGCAGGCTGGGCCTAAACCCTTCCCTGCTGCTCTGCAGGAGGCAGATCAAAGTCATTTGATCTCCACTGGACCCAAAGCAATTATTTTTGAACAAGAGGCTCCTTTCTGCCCCAAAGCTACATCATCTCCTGTCAGGACTTCTACTCAGCTTTCAACTCTTGGGTTTGGTCTTTTTTTTTTTTTTTTTTTAGGCCTCTTTCTTGCCCATTAATTTTCTCAAGTGCTAAGCAGTACTTTAGATGTCTGGACTTCCTCCTTGTTCCAAAAGGATAATTAGAATGTCCAGTTAGGCAGTGCAGGCTGAAGGGGGAGTCAAAGAAATCACCACTGTGATCAAGAGGCAAAGGCACAAGTTAATGGCAGAAGGTTATCAAAGCTTCCAGCAAGAAAAGCTGATGAGAAGTGGATTATTGAAAGTTATGTTTCCCTTCTGCACTTAAAAAATACATAAGCTGAAAGGCTGATGATTCGGAAGTAATGGGAAGGCTGAATTAAACCTACATTTTTGTCAGCTGTTTGCAGAAGGAAAAATTAAACCGGAATGTTAAAAAGTCCAGTTTCTTTTACAGCATGAAAGTTATTGGAGGCAACTTCCACCTTCTTCCTTCAGCCTCAAAGACAATGGACAGGAATGAGCAGTTCCTGCTGCTCTTCCACTCAAGCTGTGCATGAGCAATTACTCAAATGATCCCTCAATATTCCAGGACTATTTCTCACTTGTTATTCAAATTGCTGAAGATACCAGTGCAGGGCATTGCTTCCCTGAGAACAGAGGGCACAGGGAGACGTTTCGCTCCTAATGAGCTCCTTCTTCACTCCTCTTTGGCAGAGGAGAAGCTTTAAAGGCCTAAAGCAGCTTTGAAATCTGTATTAAAGCCTTGAATTGAGCACATCTCCCCCACGTCTGGGTTGGCTGTTGTGGCAAGGAGATGTAAATGCAAAACTTCAGGCTCAGAGTGCACTGACAGGAGATCTTTGGTTACATAAATACTGTACATTTCACATGTATCAAAAATCAGGCCAGAAAAAAAACCAACCCCATGGCTCTTCCAGCCCCTGGGGTTTCGTTCCCTCCGTGCCAAGAGCAGCAGGGAAGCTTTTAGTCATCGCTGAACCAGAACCTTTGATTATTGTTATTAGAAAAACACCTGTTGGAACGAGAAATGAGCTGGTAAAAAATAATCCCCAGTGCTCAGCTCACAAAAGAACTGCGAAACCAACAGAGCTTGGTGATTATTGGGCTGACACTTCCTCCTGAGAAAACTGTTCTGTGCACACAACACCTTCCAAAGCCATGGAAAATCCTGGCACACAAGGTAAGTGCTGTGTACTCTCACTGTGGGGTGTGTGACTGAGACTCTGACACACATCATCCTTTATCCCAACAGGCTGCAAATCCCAGGGGATCTCTTTCTCCCTCCAGGTTGTAAGTACAGGTTGGGAGAGCTGGGGGTGTCCAGCCTCGAGAAGAGAAGCTCCAGAGAGACCTTAGAGCTCCTTCTGGTGCCTAAAGGGGCTCCAGGAGAGATGGAGAGGGACTTGGGCCAAGGGATGAAGGGCCAGGAAAAGGGGGAATGGATTAAGCTGAAGGAGGGAAGGTTTAGATGGAATATTGGGAAGGAATTCCTCCCTGTGAGGTGCTGAGGCACTGGCACAGGTTGTCCAGAGAAGCTCCATCCCTGAGAATGTTCCAGGCCAGATTGGATGGGGCTTGGAGCATCCTGGGCTGGTGGAAAGTGTCCATGGGACTGGATGAGCTCTAAGATCCTTCCAACCCAAACCATTGTATGATTTGCCATACACCTGGTGTATCCTGGGCCAGGTCTCCATGTCCCACTGGCATCACTGGGGAGCTGGAAACAGGAATTTTCTCTAGCTGGTCTGGCTCTAACTGACCTGCTATGACACCAGATGAGATCAGGTCTCCTGGTGCACATAGCAGGACACCAAGTCATGCAGACTGTGCTGACCTCAGGAGGATGAACTAAATGACCTTTCAAGTCCTTCCCACCCAACCCATCAGTGACTCCACACGCAGCAGCAAAGCCGAACGTGTTTACCTTCACATCTGAGCACTGCGTTGTTCCACACCACGTTGCCTTCCTTGAGGATGCAGGTGATGGTCTCTGAGCCATGGGTCCTGATGAAACCCTCGTCACACAGGAAGGACACGGAGCTGCCGAGCTGGAGACTGTCCCCAAAGCGTTTCCCATTGACTGGTACCCCTGGGTCGGGACACTCGTTGTGCCGGAACGCTGCAGGACAGGGCAGGGCAGGACAGTCAGGGGCTTGTTTCACAGGATCACAGCATGATCAGAATTGCAAGGACCCACGAGGATCATCTAGTCCAACTCCTGGCCCTGCACAGGATATCCCTGAAATCACACCCTGAGCCTGAGAGCATTGGGCAAACACTCCTGGAGTTCTGTCAGTTTGGGGCTGTGCCCACTGCCCTGGGAGCTGTTCAGTGCCCAAACACCTCTGGGGGCAGAACCTTGTCCTGATATCCAACCTGACCCTGTTCAGTGCCCAAACATCCTCTCGGGGGGAAGAACCTTGTCCTGATATCCAACCTGACCCTGTTCAGTGCCCAAACATCCTCTCGGGGGGAAGAACCTTGTCCTGATATCCAACCTGACCCTGTTCAGTGCCCAAACATCCTCTCGGGGGGAAGAACCTTGTCCTGATATCCAACCTGACCCTGTTCAGTGCCCAAACACCTCTGGGGGAAGAACCTTGTCCTGATCTCCAACCTAGCCCTGTTCCAGTGCCCAAACACCTCTGGGGGAAGAACCTTTGCCTAATATCCAACCTAACCCTCCCCTGACACAGCTCCATGTCCCTCCATGTGCTGTCACCTCTTCACCCCTGAACTTAAGACAAGGACCTCAAGGTGCCTGAGCAGGAGCTCAGTTCAGTACTTCAAGCAGTCAGAACACATTAACTCATCCATGAAGTCATTTTTAACACTAAGAGATTTGCTTTAGGAATGCCTTCCCACAGGACACAGCCCCAACTCCCACCAGGGCTGGGAGGAGTGAGAGGCACCCCCAAGATTCCTGGGGGAGGTATCACCTTTCCTCACTCCACCTAGGACTCCATCCTGGGTCTGTGATAACCACAGAAAACCTCCTTCATCTGATGAGCCCTCAGCCCACTCTGCTGTGGCAAATGGTTCCTTGAGACCTCTGATTCTTATTTTTCTTTAAATAAAGGCTTTTCAATCCTTGGCTATTAATTCAGCTGTGCCACACAAGGCCATTAGAACAAAGCCATTTATCAGTTCTGCTGAAGGGGTTTAATAACACTCTTTAAGGAAATTACAGCACAATATGAGGATAAAATTACTGTGGCATTCACTGGAGATTTGAGGACTGGACCAACGTGAAGCCAAACAGATCTGTGGAAATCTCAGGGCTTTGGAATGTAAGGTATTGTTCCATCTTTGTCTCTGTCTTCGAAGCCTTGCAGGGTCTCAGCTGTCAGCACTGGGGATGGGTTTGACAAGCACAACCACCCCAGGTCTAATAGTTCTTTGAGCTTCACCTCAACTCTGTGAGCAGAATGGAACTCCCAGGGGGAGAGTAGAGAGCCCAGAGAACCACTGAAGGCTTTGGGTTGGAAGGGACATTAAAGATTAGATATTTCCAACCCCCTGCCATGGGCAGGGACACTTCCCACCAGTCCAGGGTGCTCCAAGCACCATCTAACCTGACCTGAAACACTCCCAGGGATGGAGCAGCCACAGCTTCTCTGGGCAACCTGGGCCAGTGTCTCAGTACCTCCCAGGGAAGGATTTCTCCCTAATATCCAATCTAACCCTACCCTCCTTCACTTAAGGCCATTCCCCTTGTCCTATCACTATGTTCCCTTGTCAAAATTCCCTCTCCAGCCTTGCTGTAAGCCCCTGGACACAGCAAGCCCTGCTGGGGCCACACAAATCCTCAGTGCTCCATGGACAGATAATCCAATCCCAAACTGTTTCATTCTGCACAACACTTAAACTTCACAGCCAGAAAGAACTTGTGCCACCAGCTCTAATCTTGCCACCAATCCTCAACGACCCAACTGCAAAGCTGAAGTAATCCCCAATTTTCAGATTTACTCTGGAATTTCAACAGCTTTAGAAGGATCAATCTCTTGCCCATCAGTTCCCAGCAAGAGTTTAGAGCCTGAAATGCAAAGCAGAAGGATAGATCAGGCACTTACTGGTGAAGGTGATGTTGAAGCCTCTCTTCTCCATGGAGTGGTCAGTCTGGAACTCCAGCCTGGCTACATGACCACTGCTGGTCAGAGAGGAGGGGATTTGGCTTCCTGAGAAGGTCCCCAGCACTGGAGACTCTGCAGTGCCACCATCCTTCACAGCCAAGAAGTCAAACTGGGGCTCCACATCAAAGTCATTGAAAGCCAAGTGGATTCTGCTCTCAGGTTTGGCTATGATCAGCCACACACAGTGCAAACTGCTCCCATACTCCTCGGGGTAGTTTGGTGACAGCACAATCCCAGAGGGGGTGGTGAAGTTGAAAAAGCAGGAAACTGCAAGAAGAAATCACCATCAATCACTCAGCACTGTGCTCCTACACCTCCCTCCCCTGCTCCCTCTGGCTGGGAGATTCCCACCAAATCCCAGTTGCTTTGCTTCTCTGAGACCAGTACAGACAGGGAGGGCTCAGTGCTCCATTCACTGTATGTCAGTGATTTATCTGCATGGGGAAGAAGTGAATTCCAAGGAGACTCCAAGCTGCTTTGGCTTGATTTGCCATTTTCCAGCCCAGCACTGTGTGTTCCCACAGTCCTTCCACAGGCTCCAGGCTGTGCCCAGCAGAGCTTGGGTTTGGTTTTTGCAGGAAGAAATCCCTCAGGTGAGGATTTGGTACTTTACAGGTGAATTCTCCTGTATATCCTTGAGGGGAAGTCTCCCCAAGAACCCAATGGGTCACTAGAGCTAGGACAAAATAAAGTTAGCACTAAATGAGGTTGAGTTTGCAGCAACATCTGCTGTGGCCAGAACTCAGCACAGCCTACAGCACCAGGAGTGAGGGACCAACTCAGCCAGCTCTGAGCTCCTCTGCTGCCAGACATTCCCAACGTTTTCATCCAAGCTGCTGACAAACTGCAGATAATCCAGTGCAGACTTCAGGCCTTGCTTAAAATGAAGTCTGCACTTCCAGCTTCTCTTTTCTACCTGCTAAATGCAGTTTTCACCCAGGCTCCTCTCCAGCTGTGCCCCACATCTGCACACACTCCATCTACACCGTGCTCATCCCACAGGAAGTATTTGTGGGATTCAGCAATAAATTGTTGGCTCCTTTGAGGAGCTGTGAGTCAATTGGCCTTTGTTTAGCTCCTTGGGCAGCTCTTGACACCTGTCTGAGCACTGAGAGGTGAAGTTGCTCTTTGGCTTTGGAGGAACAGCCCAAGGACTTTTCCCAAGCTCCCACCACATGCCAAGGAGTTGGGACAACTTGGAGCAATGTGAGTGTAGGGGAAACTCCTCTTCCCATCACAGATAAATCACTGACTTCTGCTGGGCTAACATGTTCCCAAGAGAGGCATCCAACTAGGCTGCCATTCCATCAAGGGAATTAAAACCAGGCTTAACATGCAGCTGAGGGGAAGAAAATGCATGAAAAGCTCTTTGGCTCTCCAGGGGTTTCAATATATACTGTATTGCAGCTGACAAGGCTCATTCCTTTACCAACCAAGGCTCCCTGTTCCAGGGAACCTGCCCAAGGGTTGGGTGGTGGATGCTTTGCTCATCTCTTTCCCCACCATCACCCTTGGTAAAACCCATCACTTCCAACATACATCTCCCCCATTCCTGGCACAGGGACATGGCACAGAGGCTGAGGCTGCTCCGAGTTTGGCATTTAGACAATTGTCTGGATCACTGCTCAGCCTCCCTCTGTTATTTTCCCTCTGTCTTCTTTCAGCACTTAATGGTTTTGGATCAAACAAGATGGACATTACCAGGACCTTATCAAGGCTAGAAGCTCCACAATCTATTTCCTGCTCTCAGCCACAAAGAGAGCAGATTAAAGGGAAAACAAACTGCAAAATACCCCCAGGATTTGGGCTCTTGACTAGATGTTGAAATGTCCAGGGATGCTGGCAAATAATTCTGTCAGCACAAGCACAGGATAATCTGCCTAAGAAACGTGGCAAAGGAATGGATTCACACACAAAGATCTCAGGGGCAGGAATTCCTCCCAGGACTAGGGATCTCCTAGCAAGTTTGAAACCCAAAGTTGTAAATTAGCATTCAGACAGGACCTAGAGTATCCCCCAGGCAGCAAGGGAGAGGTGCAGTCACCAGCTCAGCTCAGCTCAGGAAAAAACAACAACGAAGAACTTGCTGACAAAGGGAAGAGATGCAAAATGAGAGAAGAATGCAAAATTAACCTTTGCTAGAGAAAACAAAGTGACAGATTACCAGAAAAAAATAGATTAAAAAAAAACAACCTCTAAAAGTCTCCAGTGCAAGGGAGGAAATGAGAATGTTGATTTCCATAGCATCAGTGAGCAGAGAGACAAGTTGGAGCTGCAGGACAAAGGTCTCTGTCCCACCCAGACACGTCCCAAGGCACCAGGTTAAAACTGTCCTTGATGGAGAGAGGAGCTTGGCTTCACCTCCCAGAGGAGAACATCCAGCCCAGGAAGTAACAATTAAGCCAGAAGGTTCATTAACATGATCAAGGGCCTGTGATAAGACAATTTCCTTCATCCTTTTCAGCAGAGAATCAGAGAATCAATCAGGTTGGAAAAGACCTCCAAGATCATCCAGTCCAACCCTCCTGTGGTCACCAGAGCATGGCACTAAGTGCCACATCCAGTCACAGCTTGAAAACCTCCAGGGATGGTGAATCCACCACCTCCCTGGGCAGCACATTCCAATGCCTAAGCACTCTCCCTGGAAAAATCTCTTCCTAATAT